TCAACAGCTTCACCAAATTCTCATCAGAAGCTTCAGCTCTTGCTGCTACCACAGCCTCCTCCAACACTTTGCACTCATTTTCCCAACCATTTTGCTTCTGTTGTTGCTTTGCATTCTCTAAACCCAGACCATCCTCTTCATTATCCTCCCCTTCGCCTTCCATTTTTGTACGTTTATTCCTACTACTACTATTACTATAACTATTTCTTCTATACCTTTTACCACTGCCAAATTTTCCATTTTTCTTCCACCCTTTATTCAAAAACTTTTTCCTCTTACCACTCAAATTCAATTTCACAAAATTTCCTTCTCCGGCGCCTCGTAGTACCTTCACTGCCGGCGTTGGCAAACTAGCACCAATCAAATTAGGAGGTCTCTTAGCAGCAATCAAATTAGGAGGTTTCTTAGCATCACTCAAATTGGGAGGTTTCTTAGCACCAATCAAATTGGGAGGTTTCTCCGCAGAATGCACGACGGGTTTGGGGGAGTTAAGAACTGGTTGGGATTCAGAAGGTTCTAGATTGAGTAAGGGTTTACGTATTTTGGAAAATGAAATTGATTTGGAGAAGAAGCCAGCAGGGAGGGTTTCCATGGAGTGGGAAGATGAAGATGAAGTTGAAGGTCCATCGGAAGTTCTGAGTCGGATTTGGAAAGGAAGGGAAGAGATGGAAGGGAGTGGGAAATTGTCTTCTTGTTGGATGAGAGTTTCGGGGGGTTTTGAAGGGGGTTTATTGGAGTTTGAGGGTTTGGTTTTGGTTTTGGATTTGGATTTTTTGTTGGAAACTGGAAGTGGTGGCTTTGGTGGTAATGGTGGTGGTGGATTTGGTTGTCTTGGAGGGGTTGTGGAGACGTGAGATCCATCGGAGTCTGAATCTGAATCAAACTGCATTTTTTTAGTCGGAGAAGAAGAGGGGAGGCAAAAGAAAGGGGAAGTGATGGTTGTTAATTCAACATGTTCCCGCCAAAAAACAAAAATATTTTCGGCTTTGAGGATTGGGCTGCGTTGGGCTTCACGAGCAACTCCAAATTGGAAATTTTAACTTGCTTCCCCGTACTTATATTTGACACCCCATATTTAAAATACTTTTACCATTATACTCTCTTATAAATATCAATTTTTTTTTAAAATTTATATGTATTATATCAAAAACTCATAGTCCTTACAGAAAATTTTGGAAATTTCTATTGTTCTATTGCAACAAGACACGTCTACTGCAAATTTAAAATTTTCGATAAAACATATCGGAAATTGTAAAAAATTTTGTAAAAATTTGGAAGGGTTTACCCAAAATTGTGAAATTTCCGATAAAGATATAAAGGGATTTATCGAAAATTATGAAATTTTTGAAAAATATCATTAAATTTAAAAAAATTTAAAATTTTTTATCTGTTAGAATTTCAAAAAATACAAATTTTCAATATTTTTCACACAAATCTTTTCAAATTTTTCTACATAACTAATTCGATAAAAAAAACTACCTGATATAATGTATCTATATAATAAAAAATGTGTTACATACAAAATTACAAAACAAATTATGATGATTTTCTGACTTCATTTTTCTAGTGTTAATTCGTCATGCATATGTTGATTCTCATACTTTTGCATCTTCAGTACAATTCTGTCTCCAACAGTCAGTGATGGGAAACAACGGGCTATCAGATTTCAACTTTACCTGAACTCAATGATTGTCGTTGACAAAACCAACAACAATAATTTTATATATGCTTGTATACATAAGTGTTCTGGTCTGGGCCCAGCCTCGCAGTCCAGCCCAATAACGCACAAGGCCCGTTAAGTGGACTAACCTGACCTGGCACACACACCCATAGGACGGGCAGGGCACGCTCCCCGCCGAGCGGGACGACACGTCCCGTAGCGTCCTCAACGCCCCCTTTTTTCGGCCGAACAGAGCATCCCCCGTCCATCGAGCAAGACCACATGGCTCTTCTGCGTCCTTGCGTGCTCCCCTCTGCGGGAAGAACAACGCCCTTCGGGGAACCTCGCGACCTCCCCTCCGCGGGGAGGACAACGTGTCCGGCGCACGTTCTCCACGTGCCCCCCTATGCGGGGACACGTCATTAACCAACTGCCCACCTCCGAAAGAGCAGATCAAACCCACTTCTCGGAGATCAAGGAGCAGTTGGACTATGGTGAAGACCACGTCCTGGTCTTCACTACGCCACGTAAGCCCTAGCAGTCACCTGGGTTGGGCCTGGCAGTCCAGCCCAACGCAAGTGACCGTTGGGCCAGCGCTGGGGTCTCTCTATAAATACCCTCTTCCTCAAGAGGGTCAGGTAATTCACATCTTGCCCTTTCTGTACTTTGCTCTCACTCTGCCCAATTTCTTACTTTGGCATCGAAGTGTTTTGCAGGTACACCCCCCTTCTCCTCCTCATCATCGGCGAACAGATAGCAGTCCAACAGCGTGTGGCCAGTCCGTGATCCCCTTCTGATTGGGTCAGATCAATAAGTGAAGTTAAGGTAAGAGAGAAAAATGTAATGTTAAGTCTCCTTGACAGGGAGACAAATATGGCATTGTATCTACAAGCAATAGGGTATAACTCATATTAGAAATCGTTATCCATTTATCAATACCCTACACACTCAAGTGTTCTACTGGTAACGCATTCTTAACTTCAAAAGCCATGTCATAGAACAAATTAGAAAATAATTGTTGACGTTGATGAATTTGAGTATCTAACTGCATCCAAATCAAAGGCCATGACTCTTTGCCTCATCCAAGTAAAGCTGCAATAGCCCGAAAATCAAAATTTACATCGTCACCCATATCAGCAATATCATCGATGTATGGATGTAAGAAATCAGAAAATTGAGACAAGTAAATATCTCTCGAAGATGCAGTGGACTCTTGACTTCTACCCATCACACTTGACGGTTGACAGTTGACTTCACGGTTGACTCCCAATGTGAAGGATCACGATGCACATCACTCTATTCACCCTTTTTTACTTTTTTTATTTCCTCTCTTTGGCTTGTACTTCACCGGCGGTGGACATATAGAAGTTGTGGATGAATGTGTTAGTTCTCGAATCTTTTTTTCCAACACTCTCTGACCAACAATATACAAGGTACTGAGATATATCTTAAATTCTTCATCTAAATCCAACTGTGTAACACTTTCTTCATGACTGACATAATACTTTTCAATGTGTAATTTCTTCCAAAAAAACATGAATCAGTTCTAAGGGAACATTATTGCCTTATATTTGAAAATCGGCAAGTTGACACGCACGGGATAACCCGTGAGTTGTTCTAATGAAGCAACCATAAGCATATTGGCTTACATAAACAACGTTCACCCTTTCTAGTTCCTTTCCAATGTGTCGTATAGATTGTCTTTAAACAAAATCATGCAAGTCGACATAGAATGAAATGTTATACCGATGCTCAATATTGACAATATATTTTTTTAAACAAGACCTTGATTGAACTTGGCTGCAACTTCAACATGGTATTCACAACATCTCAACTTCAACATAAATCTCATCGGCTTGTAGTCAATATATTTTTTTAGTCTTCAAGGAGTAGATTCCACCCTAAAACCATACTTAGTAATGTAATAACATCAAAATGAAGTTTATGTTCTTGTTCGTTGTTGTGTTCCCTAAATTAGTGACTCTGTTAGTTCAAGCAACAACAAACCTTTATTTATAAGGTGTCCACCATGTTTCACTCACATACTTAACAAAAAAAGAATATCAGCACAACACAATCTCAAAGTGCTTTAGGTGTGCGACAAACTTAGTTTATCTATTAGCATACGTGATGTTGTTCCATAGATTCATGACATGTTATTGTCTTTCTTATTTAACATACTCATGAGGTTTTCTGGATCCCTGTCTTTCAAAGCAGCAAATTTGTACCATTTTGCAATGTTGTACTTCGTCATGTCATTCACAAATTGTCCATCACGAACTTTTAGACGACTCAATATGTAAGGGTCTTATAAATCCTTAGATAGTTTATGATTGTGCAACACACACCTAACTATCACCTTCTAACCACTACCACTCGACACAGGTCTCAACCTAAAAGGACATTTCACTTTCATACTATAAATGTCATCTGAAGATTTATTGCTTTCATACGCATTCTTCGTTTTATAATTTTCTTTTCTCCCACAACCCATAATCAATATGTCTTTCATGCCTCACTTCCCATCTACAGTATCAGAACGAACAGTCACAACAATAATACCATGTTGTTTACCAATATTTTGTGTTCATGCTAAAGACGGTTACACATAAAGGCGGAGAAATATTAAAATTAAACTTGTTACATATAAAACATATTGTGTCAATCGTAAAGAACTGTGTAAAATATATACATAAATCTGTAGAAGATCCTGTCGATTCTGAATCACACAAATAAGTTTTTTTTTTTTTGTTTTCTGCACTGCTATCGAAAGTTTGGAGTACAGGCAAAATTTTTGGTATATCAAAAATTTTAAAATTTTTGATATTCTGAAATTTATTAAATTTTCAAAAGTTATTTGTTTGATTATGTAAATTTCAATAATTTTTAGTATGTATATAAGATTTTCTAAAAAGTATCTGATTTTTTTGGAATTTCCAATATAAATTTTTTTAAAATAGAAAAAAAAATGCGAGATTTTCTAAAAATAAAAAAACACGTATAAAAAATTTAGTTTGAATTATCAAAAATTTCGTTTTTCAAATATTAGTAAGAGTGATTTTTTTTAAAAGAATTTTGTTTAATCAATAATAACAAAAATATTTTCGAAAATTTAAAATTTTATGAAGAATTCAGATATAAGTGTGAGGTGGCAGTTAAATCCTCGTAAACTAGTTCGCGGTTTATTGTTCAGCTGGTGGTCCACATTCAACACACTTCTTGAATGCACAATAGTAGTACCAGTACTACTACACACCGTACCGATTGCAAATTTGCATGACTATTGAGCTTTTTTAACTACGTGTAACCATCTTGAAATTTCACAAACAGATAGAGAGCAATGTGTTCATCCCCTTCACCGAACATTTACATCCCAAATCAATGGTCTCAGGCTGCAAACTCCATTACATCCAGTTCAACGCCTCCTATCACACTAATATGTGGAGCCAAAAACTGCGGAAAATCAACCTTCGCTCGTTATCTCCTTAATATCCTATTGACCCGATGTAATAAAGCTGCTTTTCTCGATACCGATGTTGGCCAACCGGAGTTCACTCCTCCTGGTTTTGTTTCTCTAACCGTTGTTCATAAACTCACTCCAGGCAGGGTTTCTGACTAACACATATGCAATAGATTAATTCATTCATTATTTTTATATAAAATGTTATTCATTCTGGATGATGCTTACTTGATTTTATTTGTTTAATTTTTTTTTTACTGTTTTTAGATTTGACGATTCCATGCCTGAAAACACCAGAAAGGTATGAACTCTGAAGTGCTATGGTAATTTGCGAAAGGAATATGTTTGTTTGGGTTTTAATTTTTTATTTGCTTGTAATATTGCAATGTTTACTTGAATCAACACTATGAAATGTATGTTTGGTTTAAGCCAAAAGCAATTCTAGAGGTGTACGGTTGATTTTAGAATGATTTTGAGGTGTATGGTTCGTATTAGAATTGATTCTGCCTTAACAATTGATTCTACTTAAAGCTAAAATTTGTATCTTCTGAGTTTAAACTCAATTTTGCATAATGTTATCTAAAAGAAAAATCACTTTACATTCAACTCACTTTTAACTAGAGTTAATTCACTCAAAATCAATTTTTTTCAGCGTAGAACCATACATACACAAAGTTTATTTTAAAATTTGAAAATTTAACAAGGTTGTTGCTTGTGAAGTCGTGTTGCATTTTGTGTTATTAACTTGCTAGTTGGGTTAAGATGGGTAGGTTTCTACTATGGTGTATCACATGCTTTTTCATGTGATCTTGTTCTGTAAGTTGTTGTTCCCTTTTATGAAGATGCTGTAGGACTCAAAGGTCCTAGTATATTTAATTGTTTTGAAATTTTCTATATAAACAGTGAGATGGGTGGATGATACTATTGTCCGTTTTTAGGGTATATTTGGTTTTGTTAATGTTGATCAATCCATGTCTTATTTGAATGAACTCGTGTACTTGTTTTGGAGCTACTCTATTCACTTTCTGTCATTTATTATATAACAGATCCCTTTTCTTTGGCGATGTTTCTTCTAAGAGAGATCCTTCAGCATACTTAAATTACATACATTCCATTTATGATTATTATCATAAGGAGTATCGCATCTTTGATAAGGGAGAAAAATGTTATAAGATTCTGATGCCTCTTGTAGTGAATACTCCTGGCTGGGTTAAAGGTAAGCTTGTGTCTTTTTCGTTCTTAATTTGATTCCTTTTAATCTTACATTTTATATTTTCACTGCTTTCCTGTACTACTGTACTACTAACAATATATCAATTATCATGGTGTACTCATTCAGTGGTTTTGTCTTGCATTTTAGGTGTTGGTTATGACGTATTAGTGGACATGTTAAAATATATTTGTCCCACCCATATAGTTAAGATAGGCATATCCACTGAAAATAAGAATTTACCTGCTGGAAAATTCTGGTTAGATGGGGAACATGACGGAACAATTAAATTGCTTGAGATAAATTCAGCTCGTCAGGACTCATTAGATAGATCGTAAGTCAAAATCTTATAAGTTACCATTTTCAGGTGCTAGTTTGGTACATTGTTTTTTAGTTTTTGACATAAAGCATTGTAGAATAATAGAATATCCCTATTTGTTTCCCAGAGTGCTTGTTCAGAAGGATGCTCGTCTCATGCGTGATTTACGAATAATGGCTTATTTCAGACAGTGCTTTCCTAGTGGTTCAGATATTTCAACGATCAAGGAACTTGCTCGTTCCTTGGCCTTTCACTGTCCTTATCAAGTTCCCATTGCAAGCATAAAGATTCGACATGTTCATCGTGAGGTTGGTTCTAACGTTACTAACTAATACTTCTAATTTTGTCTCATGACACTGAGGAAAAATAAAGTTAATGCTCGCATTTGTAACTGCCTTAACAGCCTCCTCTCTCAAAAGTTGTGTGTGTCAAAGTCTAACCCTTCCTAAGCTCCACAATGGAGTCTTGTCACTCTTGTGATTGAGCTACCCTTTATATGCTTGGTTTTTATGCATTTCAGCCACTTTGAATTTCAAATATTTTTATTATAAATTTAAATATTGAATATATTATGTTTTTCAATATAAATTTGAGTATTGAATATATAAATTTCAACAATATTTATTATATCATTGATTTATTTATTCATTCATTTTTATATAAAGACGATCAAAACATTTTATATGACTTATGACTATTTTGTGTAGGTCCCAAGCTCTGAAATATTCTATAGCCTGAACGCTAGTATTGTTGGCTTAGCAGTTGAATCTGAAGGAGCTGAAAATTTACCCTGGTGCCTTGGTCTTGGTAGGTAACTTGGCCGGCTTCCAAATTCCAAAATGTCTCGTATATCTTGGTCTGAAATAAAGTTTCTCAAAATTTCAATAGGAATCCTTTATTCATCCTAAACAGAACACCAATGGGTATTCTATATACATGAGAGAACCTAAGGCAGATCAAGAAACTAATTAACGAATAATGACTAAATCATATTCTGTTGCTTGTAATGGACTAATCCGAATTTCTTAATTTTACAATATCTTAAGTTGTAACACACCTTAAAGGATAACTACCTTTTTAAGGTATCAAACATCCACAAACACAAGAAAAAGAATCAAGTCATATCCACAAACACATCTGGGTTGTTCTAAGCATCATTATTGTTAATAACATCTTGATTTATTGTGACTCAGGCATTGTGAGGGCCATTGACACAGTCAAAGGCATACTCTATGTGATTACACCTCTGCCATTTGGTTCTCTGAAAAGAGTCAACCTCTTGCTACAAGGTTATATCCAAATTCCTTCTTGTTTATTGCAGGTAAGAAATTGTTTTATGTGTACTCGTTCCTTCTTCTCATCATTAACTCTTAGAAAATAATAGATGCTTTGTTAAAAGAATGTTGCCAAACGACTTTTTCTTAGTATCAATACGTGCGTCGGGGTTTATTATTATTATTTCTTCTGTTTTATATTATCATGAATCATGATTCATGAATGCATACACTCATTTAAAAGAAAATTTCTTTTCAGGTTCAAGGATGCATATCACCTTACATGTCAACGAATGTATTAACTACAAGCTAAAATTGTTTTTCATGTGTCTAGCAAAGAGAACACTATTTTATACTAACATGCTAAAACAGGGTAGTAGCCCATGGATTATAATTTATAAAAGCATAATGGTGTTGTTTTTTCCTTTTTATGATTATGCAAATTTGGCTCACTGAATTGTTACGGGTTTTACAAATTGATTTGACTAGTTTCCTAACAATATAGATCAAATACAACTTCCAAGCTATCAATTTAATTCCTAATTTAAATTTGACACGGTGATTTTTTTTAATAAAACCAAATGTATTATGTAAGAAATACTCCTACAAAAGTATTTCAACTCATTTACAAACAAAATTCAGCCACTGACTATACACAGTAAATGATTAATACACCAGTTAGAATAAGCTAACCAAAGTTTTTGTTCTTAAAATTAAAATTCCAAGATTAGAGTAAAAAGGCTTAAGAAGAATACTATTCATTGAAAAATTAATATAAATTTGAAACATAATATAATAGATAATTATACATTTAAAAAACTTAAAATAAAATAGCAATTGAATTTATTTGGTTATAAAAAGTAAATGATGTAAAAGAAAGATAAATAAATGTAAAAAAATATAATAAAATCAAAATATCACACATACGATGGAGTTAAATAAATAATAAAATAGACGACAAAAACCAATTTCAAAAAAATTATAAAAAATTAATTTTAACAAAATATATTTTTTAAATTGTGTACCCCTCTTGGCCATTTCCCCAAGGCTAATAAATAAAATATTGAAAATGTATTAAATAAAAGATTGATTTTATAATTTAAAATTAATAACATGAAAAGTATCGCAAAAATACATTTTGTGGAGAGATATAGAGAGGAAGTTAGGGTGCAGTTCCCTTCACAAAGTCAGTGGATTCCCTCCCGTAACATGGATTGGGATTCTCTAACTTTGCTTAACTTTAGACATTTCTTGTGGAGAGAGAATTGAAAAACATTAAAAAAAAAAAGAAAAAAAAAAAAAAAGAGAAAAGAGAGGTGAGAGAGTGGATTGTTAGAGAGATATAAAGAGGGAGTTGGGATGCAGTTTTCTTCACAAAGTCAGAAAGTCAGTGGATCCCCTCCCCATTACATGGATTGAGATTCTCTAACTTCCTACTCTCTAACTTTTGCCTAAACTTTAGGCATTTCTTGACTCTTGTGGAGAGAGAATTGAAAAACATAATAAAAAAAAGGAGGGAAAAGAGAGGTGAGAGAGTAGATTATTAGAGAGATATAAAGAGGAAGTTAGGGTGCAGTTCCCTCCACAAAGTCAATGGATCCCCTATACATACATGCATAAAAAAAAATGTACGCAACATGCATTTTCTAGGTGATGTTGATGTTGACCGCCACTTAAAGTAATGTAATTCTTAATCCATGCATCACATAAGTTTGTTAGAAGTTGTCTTTACTGCAAAATTTATAAAAATATTTAATTTCAGAGTCAAATTTTGAGTGGTTTGTAAATAGTAAAAACCAAGATAGTAAAAAAAATCGAATAATATAATATATGAAGGACCCCCTAATAAAAATCAAATTTGAAATTTTCTGCTTCTAAACATATAAATCTATTTAAATAAAGTAATATAAAATGTATGACTCCTTACCTTTTCATCGTTATAATCTTACCGTTTTAATTTATCTATTTCTTAGTCAGTCTCTTGCCGACCTTAAAGAAAATAAATAAAAACTTTCAAATACTATTGAATTTAAGAATCTGATAAGTTAATAAAGTAAAAATTAAAAATTATGATGTGACTTAATCGCTTATTGATTTTATAGGCGAGTTTTACATCTCTCCCAATTATAAGGATAATGTTATTTCGTAGGGGCACTTTTTTCCCTATGCATTTTTCATAAGATGAAGGTTTTTAATGAGACACATCATTTTATTATTTTAAAAAATATGTGTTTTTCGGGTATTCCTTTCTTTGCAAGAAACCTAAAAGCACAAGAGAAGATTGCCCTATGAGGCGATCAAGATCGCTTGATCCTTATGCGGGATTCTTGTCGTCCAAAGAGGTGATCAAATCGCTAGATCCTTATATGGGATCCTTGCTGCCCATAGAGGCAATCAAATCACTGGATCTTTACATGGGATCATTGTCGCCCAAAGAGGCGATAAAAATCCTAGATCTCATAGTGGGACCCTTGTCGTCTCTAGAGGCGATCAAATAGTTAGATCCTCACGTGAGATCTTTGCTACCCATAGAGGCGATCAAATCGATGGATTTTTATTTGGGATCCTTGTCTTTCCCTAAAGGCAATCACATTGCTAGATCCTTACGTGAAATTCTTTACGCCTATAAAGACGATTAAAACGTTGGATCCTTACATATGATCCTTGCTGCCCCTAGAGACGATCATATCACTGGATTCTTACATGGGATCCTTGCCGCTATAGAGGCGACCAAACCACTGGATCCCTAAGTGGGATCATTGTCGCCCCTAGAGGTGACCAAATTGTTGGATCCTTGCTTCTCAAAAAGGAGGTCAAATCGTTGGATCCTCACATGGGATCCTTGCTGCCAATTGAGGCGATCAAAACGTTTGAACCTTTAGTGGGGTCCTTACCGTCCCTAGAGACAATCAGGTCCTTATTTCCTCACGTGGAATCCCTGCCGCACATAGAGGTGTTCACATCGCTGGATCCTTATGTGGGATCCTTGCCGCCCATAGAGGTGATTAAATCGTTGGATCCTTACGTGGGATATTTGTCGCCCAAAGAGGCAGTTAAATTGCATGATCCTTACGTGAGATCCTTGCCGCCTATAGAGGCGATCAAATTATCGGATCCTTATCTGAGATTCTTGCCACCCAAAGAGGCGATCAAATTGCTGGATCCTTACGTAGGATCCTTGTCGCCTATAGAGACGATAAAATCAATGGACCGTTACATGGGATCCTTGTCACCCCTCGAGGCAATTAAAATGCTAGATCCTTATGTATGATCCTGACTGCTCATAAAGATGATCAAATCACTAGATCCCTAAGTGGGGTCCTTGCCGCCCATTGAGGCGACCAAGATGTTGACTCCCTAAAGGAGATCCTTGTCACCTATAGAAGCGATCAAATGCCTAATCTTTAAACAAGATCCTTTCCACCTACTGAGAGGGATAAATGTTAAGTCCTTTTGTAGTTCTTAAAGTAATCAAATTATTGCAAGGAAAATGATGATAGTAGACACCCTCCATCAAGAGCTAGAGGATTGATTGTACAGAAACATATACGAAAGACAATAAAGGCAGTTAACTTAAAAAGATCCCCTAAAGAGCACCATTATTCATTACAATTATAAGAGCCCCGAAGGGGCGTGGAAATACAACAAAAAACCTTAGAAAGGGTAAAGAAATACAAAGCCACTAGGGGTTAAGAAACAACCAAACCATCAATTCTCCTCCTGAGTCATCTCATTCTTAACATCATTCTCTGGATGAGGGACTCCGAACTCACTGTCATTCGTTGCCCCGCCCTTGTCATGGGTGTTCTTGACGGGAACAAAATTTTCAAGCTCTAGGGAGGCCACCACCTCATATCCACCAATTAGCCACCACATACAACTTTGAGAAAATCCATTTGAGTCAGGTCCAGAGTGGGATAGAGGAGGATAACATGTTCTTTGGCGCACTCAAAATAGATGCTAGAAGTATACATTACCTCATCAGTGAGCTTTGACACCTTCTTTTCCAGCTCCTTTTGACGAAAAAGGGCAGTGTCCAAGGATTCCTTCTCCGTGGAGATTTCTTTGGCATTGGCCTTCACGTCTACCTTCTTCTCCTCCCACTTCTCCTTGTCTTTCCGGAGGACCTTCAGCACCATTGGCTTTCATTGGTTGCATTCACCTTGTAACACCCCAAATTCTTGAAATATTCATTTAATTTATTTAAATATGAATATTTGCATTTTTGGTGATTTTCGGTGGTTGGTATGAAGTATTGAGAATTCTGGATTTTGGGCTATTTATTTAAATAATAGTATATAACATGAATATATTAGTATTATTATTGATTTAAATAAATATAAGTGAATTAAGGGAAAAATAGACATTGGAGGAGGAGTTAGTGAGGGTGAAATTGGAAAGCCCATTTTAAATGCCCAAAGTTAGGTTTAACAAAAAGGAATTTTGAGGGAATTAGAATTCATTCTTGTTAGATCGTGAAAAAGGAAGAAATAGAGGCCAAAGCTCTGAGGAAGAGGATTGAGGCAAGGCTTCGCGAGGTTTCCAAGAATCAAGGAGAAAGGCTTAGAGTCAACAATTAATATATGGGGAGTATTGCCTTCATTGTTTTCAATATGTGATTCAATGTGTTTAAAGCTGATTTAAGGGTTTAGGGATTTTTGATTGAATTCTTGTTGCCTTTCTGATGGTGAGTTCAATGAGTTTGAGGGATTTGAACTGATGGTCTGATAGGTTTGAGGCTGATTTGAGATAAGGGAAATTAGGTCTTCGTGGCCAAAATCTATTGTTGAAGTTTTAACCGTATAGGATAATTGATTGTGAGAACTTTAATAATTATGGGGAAGTTGTAAGAAATCATGGGAATTGGAGGCGTAAATATACGGGATTGGCCTAATAAGTCGTAGATTTTGTGCCTTTATCGCCGTAATACCTTAGGAATGATTGAGGGATGTTTTTGAGGCATTGGGGAAGGAGCGTTACAGGGGGAGCCTCTTTCGTGGAGAGCGCTTGAGTACTCGCCTTCCTAGGAGTAGGCGGTGCATTGTCAACAATAGAGGAAATACCCTCCTCTAGCCTTTGAGACTTTACGTCGGGCGAGTTTGGGATCAGGTCCTCAACTGGCTTTTCCGCCCATTGACAATAACACCCTCGGGGTGACTCCGATTATTATTGGTGCCCAAACTAACAACCTTGATCTTTTCCCACCTCTACCTCCTCTCTTCAGTAGAGATCTTCACCATTCGACCTGCAAAACAATGCACAAAGATCACATATAATGTCTAAAAATAACTACAAAGGAAAACAAAATATAAC